AAAGACAGAGCGGAAAACTTCTCAAATGCCTTTGTGGCCAGTGTCAATTAAATCCTATCACTCGAGGAGGCTGTTAATCAGAAATTTCCTGTCTAAAAAAAATAATGTTGCTGAAGTAAGCATGACTTCTCAACAAGTCACAGCGCAACTAACTGTCAGGCTTGTTAGCAGCAGCCTTCCCCGCCCTTCGCTGTGTGCTTTGCTGACGATTCCGCTGCAGAAATGCCTCGAGTGCTTTTCTACCCAGCCTCTCATCTCCTGGTTTACAATCAGCAGTGGTGTCCCTGTGGGTCTTCAGCAGTCCAATTTTCTTTTTGGATGAGAACTAGCAAATCTTTATGAGAGTTCTGTTCCTATAATCCATCCGACTGCTGTGTGCAAGATTGGCCTGAAGATCAGAGTTTAGGAGAATGAAAAGGTCTCACAAGGACTCGCCTTTAAGAGCGCAAGCCCATGGAGAATGCAGGAAATGAAAATAAAACGCGCAGTTTGGATACACAGCCAGTGAGACATAGCTTGCCCATGGTTTGTTGTTATATAATATCTTTAATCCTCAGCTCGTGGGGTCTGGTATCTCTGGTGTGCCTTGGTCAGAAAGGTTGAACCCGAACACTGGATCAGAGTCTTTGAGTTCTGTGGATTGACATTCAGGGCTGTTGTGGGCTCAATAAATATTTGTCCTGTCAGATGGCATTTTGTTGCTCACATGTCTTGTTTAAAAATGTCAGGGATCTCTCTCTTCCTCTCTCTTCTTCTCTCTTCCTCTCTTCTTGGTGTGAACTACAAGGAGATAGACACACATCAATAGTGTGCCTTCTTCCCTAGCAGCTGCGAAGTTGCAGATGAAGACTAATATCCCAGGGTTCTCGCACCCTGGGTTTTGTCAAGAGCAAGTGAAGCACTCCGGCCTTGGCAATATATTTGCCATCACTAGTGTGGCCTGTTTCAGGCTAGAAGCAATTTTTGTTCTGACATGTCTCTGTTATTAAAAAGTTAAGGAAAGGAGAGCGGGGAATAATGCCAAGATTAGATTTTTCAAAGATGAAATTACAAAGTTGATGGCACCGAGCCATCTACTTGGAGAGGTAAGGAAATCCACAGTGACTTTGGGTTATAACAGAAATCTATAGGAAGGGCCAGGAGGAGGGAAAGAAAGAAAGGAAGAAAGAAAGAAAGAAAAAAAGGAAAGAAAGAAAGAAAGAAAGAGAGAAAGAAAGAAAGAAAGAAAGAAAGAAAAAAGAAAAGAAAGAAAGAGAAAGAAAGAAAGAAAGAAAAGAAAGAAAGAAAGAAAGAGCACTTCTGTTTGATGGATATTAGATCAAGATTGCGGGGGATGAAGGTTAATTATCAATTAGCAGGGAGAAGCACTGTGGTAATCTGCTGTAGTCTGGAGTTCAAAGAGTACATGGCATTGATGACCTCACACTTCCATAACTGGATTCCTAAACTGTGAGTGACTGCGGGGGCAGCAGACAGAGGCAGAGTGTCTGTGTAGGGGTGCATGATTCCGGCTGGCCTTTGGATGCTTCCCTCAGGCTGAGGAAGGGGGCGTGGCGAGAAGCAGCAGGGATGTTTCCAGTTGCCCTGGGAACGGGGTAACTGGGAACAGTCACCCTGGGAACTTTCCCAGTAAAGGAGGTCCCATGAGGGTTGGAGAGTATGTTTTACTTCCAGAATGAATGACCTCCCCAGCAAAGATTAGAAATGGTCTTGGGGCCTTTCTAAAATTTTTTTTAAAATTTTATTTTATTTGATTTTGTTTTTTATTAGTATTATTATTTTTAAAATTTATTTTAAAAATAAAAGAATGAAAACATTAACAAACAGACATCCATTTACAAAACAGCATAAGAACAATACAAACAATACAGAGTTACAGACAAAGTGGTAGGAAATTAACAATGGTTGTTGTATTAGATATTGATACCTTCAAAGAAATTTATTTTAAAGAGAATAAAAAAAATAACAAAATAACTGCAACAAAGACAAAACAGCACAAAAAAATAAGAATGATACAGGATTTCAAAACAAAATGATAGGAATTAACAATGGTTGTTGTAGTACATACTGTTATCTTCAAAGAAGTTGCTCAGATTGCCAGATGTAAGAATGCAAGATTGATCAAACAAAGGGAATAAAAAGTAGTAAAAAAAAATTAGAAACGACACAGAGCTTCATGAAACAAGATGGTAGGAATTCAGCAATGGTTCTTATATTGCATATTGTTGTCTTCAAGTTAGTTGTTCAGATTACCATATCTATGCTTACAAAATTGGTCAAGAAAAAAAAAATTAAGCATTAACTGTTGTGGTCCCAGGGCCTTTGAAATTCAGGGAGTGATAATCGTCCTGGCTTCAGTGATGAACCACTTTGCACGTAACACAGGACTTGATGTGGTCCTCCCTGTCCCCACAGGGGAAAGGTGAATCACGGTCCCTATTCTTTAGCAAAATCAGTGTCTGAGCAGGGCAGGGTGCCGAATGAATTGAGTACTGTTGCATTTCCTTTGTTTTATATTGCTGATCATTTCTCCACCTGGCCCCTTGTCAGGATTGCTGTTCCTGGGGTAGAAGAAAAGCCACAGCTTTGGCCCTGAGGCCTAGGACCAAAGGTGTAAGGAAGGTTCTGGGTTTCCCTGCTGCTCGCTGACAAGGATCCTCATCTGTGCTCCGAGATTTGCCCTTCCAGCTAATGCCAGCCCTACTCTCCCTTGTGTTCACACACTTGGACCAGAGTATGGAAACTGTCAGCAGTTAAGGACATTTACTACTCATTCGCACATTCAGTGGAAGTCCTATTCTGGACCAGGAGCAGGGAATCCAGTGATACTTACCCACATGAACCTATAAACTAGTCTTATCCATAATTTGAAATGCACAATTATGTAATCAAATAGTTAATAATTATTGATAGTAATTTTCTATTAAACAAATACTACTATCAGAACGAAATGTAATGACACACAGGGAAACTTCCAAGGGAGCAGAATGTTGTGTTAAGGAAGCATTTGTCTGAGGGGAGCTGAGTATCAGGAAGAGGGCAGCAGGGCACTGTCCCTGCCCCAGGCTGCTCCTCTTCTCCACGCCACTCTGGCCCTCGAGGAGCAGCCCTGGGCTCTGTCCCATCTGACTTTGGGAGAGTTTGGCCAACTGGAGACAGCAGCAGGAGCTCAGTGGGCAGAAGGCAGAGTGGGGCTGTGTGTAGCCGGCCCCTTCTTGCTGGGCTGCAGTTTGGCAGGGTTGTACTGCTATAGTGGAGGCAGAGATGCTGTCAGCGGACCTCTCTCTACAGCCGCAGACCCCTCCCCTTGCCTCTTCAGGCCCAGGGGCAGCATTACTTCCAACCCTTCCACCTCCCCAGCTCTTGTTGGTGTCCTTTAACCCTGAGGTTGGGCCCTTCAGTAAGCCCCCTTTGTCAGCCTTGGAGTATGCTGTCTCCTTGCAGGAGGCCTGGCCAGTACTGACGTCTTCCCCGAAGAAGCGACATTTTTTTCTTTTACTGGAGATTGAACCCAATGCCTTCATACTGAGCTACATCCCTAGCCCTTTGTTATTTTTAACTTTGAGACAGGATCTCACTAGATTGCTATGTTGTCTAGGCTGAACTTGAACTTGCAAGCCTCCTGCCTCAGCCTCCCAAGGTGCTGGGATTGCAGGTGTGCGCCACCAGGCCCAGGCAAGAATGACTTTTGATTGGGTATTAAGAGGAGTGGGGTGTGGGGAGGAGAATGTACCAAGATGACTGTTGGCTCGCGTGAACGGGACCCATTTGAGAAACTGTATGTGGCTGAGCACAGAGAACAAGGGGAAGACTTGGTAAAGATGAATCTGGGGAGGTAGATCCTGCTGGATGCTACGGGTTAGGGGAAGGGTCTGGATCTGGACTCTAACAGCAATACTAATTTTAAGGTGGTAACTGTAAGGCTGGAGAGTGCACTTTTATTCACTCAGTGTAAAAGAGTCTGTGGGGAAGCCTGTTTAACAGATTGCTACTGCTGACCAGGTGAAAGAAGACAGTGGTTTGGAGAGCAATGGCAGGAAGGAAATGGCTAGACTTAAGAATTCTTTAGAAAGCAAAATCAGTACAACGTGGATGGAGCAGATAGAGTAAGCGAGAAAGAGGTGTTGTGGATGGCTCCACATTAATCCTGGCCAGTGCAGTGAGTGACATGATTATCCCACTCAAGAACTTGAGGTTCCCTGATCAGGACCAGTGTGGGGCAGGGCTGTGAAATCAGCCACCTTCAGATAGCCAAGGGCGTCTCCAAAGTGTGAAGTATTACTGAGCGTGTCAGTGAGGAGAGGATTGGAAGCTGTCCACGGGATCTAACATTTTGGGGTTACTGACTGTCTCTGTGGATCGTTTTGGTTGATTGAAGAGCCGACTGAATGGGCTAAGGACCAAGTGGGAGGTGAGCAAATATAGCCAGTGGGTCCAGACAACTCTCCTGAGAAGTTTGACTTTGACCTGCAGGACAGAAATAGGCTGTTAGGTGGAGGGGAAGGATGGAGTGAGTGTGTTTTCATTTGTAATGAGAGAGCACTTATCGGGGTGAGTGTGAGTGCATGTGAGTATGTGTGTGTGCATGCACAAGCGTGTGAGCTTGCATGCTCATCTGCCATTTTGAGAAAAGCCTAAATCAGTGGTGGCGAACCTATGGCACACGTACCGCAGCTGTTTGTTATCATTGAAAGCTCTAAAAGGTTTGCCACTGCTGGCCTAGATGATTTGAAATGATCTAGTATTAAGTGGAAAGTTCAAATCAACAAGAGCAGAAGGAGCCAGCGCCCAGCATTGTGGGTGGGACGTGAGCCTCCACTGAAGAGAGCAGAGGAAGCTGCAGCCTTCAGCGTGACTTCCAGCTTCCCTCCTGCACCCCACCTGGTCTTTAGAAAGAGCAGATGAGGAGAGCAAACCCAAGGATGTTCTTCAAATGTTACTCTGACATTTATAGTTGCAGATGAAAATAGAAAGTCTGTGAATGTGGCTTTGCAGATGAATTGAAGATGAATCAATCACTCAGGAATCTTGTGCTTTGCAGAAAAGCGGACCTGTGAAGACTTTCTTTGCTGAGACATGAATGTGTGGATGGGTGATTTAAGTACTTCAGGACCTCAAGTTGAGAGGTAAGGAACTGGGTTAAGAAGGCAGGCTCACTTGTATCCCATGCGAGGTTTCTAATCATGCGTGCTACCTTACTGAGGGCAAGTGCTGTATATTATTACTAGGAAGAACCTAACTCCCCTGTCCTCATGATTCTGTAAGAATGTGCTAGACTTTCTAGGAGCATCAGCTCTGGAGTGACAGCTCCTGTCCTTGCTGATGCTAGGTAAGATGTTAGGAAGCCGCCTGGCTGCAGGTCAGTGCCTCTGTCTCTGGTCTGTTTTTTTTTTTTTTTTTTTTTTTTT